GGGGGAATACGTTTTTTTTTATTCCGTTTGGCCCCCCCGGGATTCCCCCTCTTCCCCCGGAACAAGCGAACTCCGTGGTCAACACTAAAAGACACGGCCAATGGGGGACCGAGACCTAGCCGCCTGCGTTTCAGCGGGGTGGGGGACACCCGCCCGCAGAATGCAGTGTTCCTGGCACTCCGGTCGGTCCTCCCCACGTATCGGCACAGCACCCCCCCCCCCCCCCCCTTTTGCTCACGCGGTGCTCTGACTGCTCTGCCCAAGACCGTCTCCCCTTCGCTTGGGCTCCTTCCCACCTCTCACCCACGCGCACCGGGCCCTGCACTTGTAATGCCGTGGGGGGGCTCCTGCCGTTAGACGTGGAGTCGCGAGGGGCTAGCCTGGCCCTCGCCCCCACCACCTCGTGTGTGTGTGGAGGAGTTTGCCTTACCTGACCTCACCTCGCCCTTAGGTGCGGAACCGCTGGAACAGGATCGAGCGTGCCAATGCGCTGCGCGAGAAGAACGGGGACGACGCGGGCGGGTGGGGCCGCTTCCTAGACACTTCCGAGACGCCTCCTAGACACTTCCGAGACGCTTCCGAGAGACGTTTCTGAGACACCTCCGAGACACTTCCTGGACTCTTCTGAGACGTTTCTGAGACACCTCCGAGACACCTCCGAGACACTTCCGAGGCGCTTGCTCCGGGTCTGTGAACAGCGTCTCTTCACACGCACCGCGCTGTGAAACAGGTACCGCTGTCGCCGGTGCGGCCAGCCAAAGCGCGGGCATACCTGCACCGCCCTCGGGCAAGGCTCCCCCTCTGAGCTGGCGCGAGATGAGCCGAGATGAGCCGAGATGACAGCCGAGATGAGCCGAGATGAGCCGAGATGACAGCCGAGATGAGCCGAGATGAGCCGAGATGAGCCGAGATGACAGCCGAGATGACAGCCGAGATGACAGCCGAGATGACAGCCGAGATGACAGTCGAGATGACAGTCGAGATGACAGTCGAGAGAACGGGCAGAACAGGCAAGAGATCGACCGGTCAGACGGGCAGCGCCGAGTGCCACGGGAGGCTAGCGAGACACCCGCCTCTAATCATGACTCGCATCTCTTTCCATATCTCCCCGTATCTCCCCGTATCTCCCCGTATCTCCCCGTATCTCCCCGTGTCTCCCCGTGTCTCCCCGTATCTCCCCGCATCTCGAGGCCTAGAAGCGGAAGACGGCTCCGCGTATTCCAACTAGCGCGCTCGAGACGAGACGCACCCCACACGGCACGCGGCACACCGAAGTCACTCATTGCCAACTACGAAGTACCAACGAAGGAACCACTGGTTGTGAACTATGAACGAGTCTTGATTGGCCGCAGGCGAGCAAGTCCGCCGAGGTCTCCCGTCTCTCCGCTTCTCTCTCCGAGGTTCGCGCGAAGCAGGAGCCGCCGCCGCCGCCGCCGCCGCTGTCTGCAGTCCCGCCGCCGCTGCAGCTGTCGGTGGTGCTGCCGCCCGCAGCGCCGCCCGCCGCCGCGGCGGTACAGGACGCCGCAGACGGCAGCACGAGCAGAGGAGGTGGAGGAGGCTGCGGCGGGGGAGTCGCGCCCGTTGTGCCGCCGCCCCCCGCCGCCCCTCTTCTCGCTGTCGCCGCCGCCGCTGTCGCCGCCGCCGCCGCCGCCGCTGCCCCACCCGCATCTGCGCTGCAGCGGCTGCCGTCGGCGGCGGCCTTGCAGCAGCTGCCCTCTCTGCTGCAGCCGCTGCCGCCGCTGCTGTCTCCGCTGCAGCAGCTGCAGCCGCTGCAACCGCTGCAGCCGCTGCAACCGCTGCCGTCGCCGACCGCGATACGCCGTTTCCCTTCGGCGACGGCGGTCGAGCTTCCGCGGCCAAGGCAAGACCTTCCCGTCTCTACCAGAGTCGGCGCGTGTCGTCGCTCACGCACACGCAAACACACACACACAGCCACACAATCGCACGCATGCGCGCGCACACACACACACACACACACACACACACACACACACACACACACACACACACACACACACACACACACACACACACGCACGCACACACACACACACACACACACACACACACTGCCCAGCAGCGCCTGCAAAAAAGAAATCCGCCGCCCGAAGACGCGAGTCTGCCTGCAGGTG